CGATATGGCTGTACATCGGCACTGGTGGGAGGCGTGCGTTGGCACGAGGCCGCAAGTCGAGTGCCTTAGTGTCTCCGCCAGTGCCGATATACAGCCATATCGCACTGCTACGAGTGTGATATTGCATTTATACAACAGTTTGACGACATAATTGTGTATTAAAAAAAAAAACAAAATCAAACATGGACAATCTCAAAAACCCTTTTTTATGAGGAACTACTTTCTTCCGCCTTGAATTTAAATCATAAGCTGACAGTTAATCAGTTGAGCGTGCATCTTTTAAACTCTAGATCTGTAGCGTCTGCTTTTTGCTGGTTGTATGTGGGTGGAGTAATACACAAAGGGTAAAGAGGCTGTACGGCTGCTGATATTACTTAAATATATCACGGCTATCAGCCAATCAGATTCAAGAACCAGACGAAACTGTTGTATGAATGAGCAATATCACACAAGTAGCAGTGCGATATGGCTGTATATCGGCACTGGTGGGAGGTGTGCGTTAGCACGAGGCCGCAGGAAATATCACACTGCTTCGAGTGTGATATTGCGTTTATACAACAGTTTGACGGCAAAATTGTGTCTATAAAAACAAAATCAAACATGGAGAGTCTCAAAAACCCTTTTGTATGAGGAACTACTTTCTTCCGTATTGGATTCAAATCATAAGCTGACAGTAAAACAGCTGAGCAAGCATCTTTAAAACTTTAGATCTGTAGTGTCTGCTTTATGCTGGCTGTATGTGGGCGGAGTAATACACAAAGGGTAAAGAGGCTGTAGGAGTTCTGATATTGCAGAATATCGCACGGCTATCAGCCAATCGGATTTGAGAACCAGACAGAACTGTTGTATATATATATATGTGTGTGTGTGTGTTACTTGCTTCATTTAGTGACTGTTACTGTTCCTTTAATATGTACTTTGAACTGTTTACTAAGTTACCTTTACATGCACACACACATACATGCACACATACACAAACACACGCACCTGCCAGCATTTGACTGTATTGTTGTTGTTTTTGGTATTTTTGTTATTGTTTCATATTTTATGTATTTGTATCATCTCAAATTGTGTCCCTTTTTATATATTCTAATTAAACAATAATAAATAACCTTTCCAAAAGTAAAATTCTTTATATGCGATGCCTTTTCTATAAATTTTTTAGTATCTCTGCACTCCTATTGAATATTTAACACTTTCTCAAGCTCATATCATGAAATATTTAACAGCAGAACTCTGTTTCACCAATTACCCAAGCATTTAAACATCGCATCTGTGCATATGACTTGAGCTGTCTTACACAAATCCCACAGAGATTAAAGTGTAAAGCTCAGTTTAAAGTGTTCCTCGGCGGCTCCCACATACACAGCCTATTACAATGTGATAATTTGACAAGGGAAGCTCATTTGACCAAAGATGGCAAACATTTTATGAGCTTAGGATAGAATAAACGGGTGAATCTCACTAAATATATTCAGGTCACAGTTCACCAAACTATCAAATGAGAATAACAAGACATTATAGGGTGGCATAAAGAAACTGGGGCACTTTTAAATTGCATTTTGGTATTATTTTATAGCTCATTTTCCTTAAACTATTCATATTTTAACAGTATAAAACTTCTTGAATACAATGCTTTTATTAAAACAAACATTTAATTAAAATTAAATAGAACTTGTGTGTATAAATAGTTTCTTTTTTGCACATTACACTAAATGTTTGCTCATTTGTTTGTTCAAACTATATTATTTATTCATTCATTCATGCATTGATATAAATAAATTTTTATGAATAACTATTAAATTATTTAGACATATTTACTCATTGTTCATTTGTCCGTTTGTTCAGTTATTCATGCTATTATACATTAATGTTAATTATTTAGACATATTACACTACTGGTTTGTTTCATTTTGTTTGTTCGTTCATTTATCCATGCATTTATACATTATTGTGATTTATTTGGACATGTTACAGTTCTTGTTTGTTCGTTCATTGTTCATTCTTTCGTTCATTCATGTTAATCATTTGGACATATATTGTTCATTGTTCATTCCTTTGTTCATTCTTTCATTTGTTCCTTTGTTCTGTTGTTTATTTATGATATTATACATTATCGTTAAGTATCGTTAAGTATAAGTATTTAGACTTATTACATCACCTGTTTGTTTCGTTTGTTCATTTATTCATGCATTTATGCATTAATGTGAATGACTTGGACATATACCATTTCTTGTTTCTTCATTCATTGGTCACTCGTTTATATGTTAATTAATTATTAACATATGTTAATTAAATGTTAATTCATTAATTCATTAATTCATTAATTCATTCATTCATTTATTCATTCATTACTTCAATTATTAATTAATTCATTTATGTCTTTAGGCATTAATGTAAATTTTTTGGACATATTTGGTTCATTTTTCATTAGTTTATTCGTTCGTTCATTAATTCATGCTATTATACATTATTGTTAATTATTTAGGCATATTACAGTACTTGTTTGCTTCATTTTGTTTGTTCGTTCTTTCATTTATTTATGCATTTATACATTAATGTGAATGATTTGAACATATACAACTTCTTGTTTGTTCGTTCATTGTTCGTTAATTAATTAATTAATTCATTCATTCATTCATTCATAACATAACTTATGAATTAATTAATTCCATTCATTCATTCATTTATGCATTTAGGCAATAATGTAAATTATTTAGACATATTTGGTTCATTGAATATTCATTCATTCATTTATTCATGCTATTATACATTAATGTAATTATTTAGACATATTACACTACTTGTTTCGTTTCGTTCATTTGTTAATTTATTCATGCATTTATGCATTAATGTGAATTATTTGGACATATTACACTTCTTGTTTGTTCATTCCTTGTTCATTCTTTAGTTCATTCATTCCTTCGTTCTTTCATCCATTCATTCATTAATGTAAATTATTTGGACAGATTTGGTTCATTGTTTTGTCCTTTGTTCAGTTGTTTGTTCATTCATTTGTTCATTTATGCTATTATACATTAATGTTAATTATTTAGAGATTTTACAATACTTGTTTGTGTCGTTTCAATTGTTTCTTTTGTTCATTTATTCATGAATTTAGGCATTAATGTGAATTATCTGGACATATTACACTTGTTTGTTTGTTCATTCATTGTTTATTCATTCATTCATAAATTTTTGGTTCATTGTTCGTTCTTTCTTCATTCATTCATTCATTCATTCATTCATTCATTCATTCATTCATTCATGCTATTTTACATAAATGTTAATTATTTAGACATATTGCACTACTTGTTTGTTTCATTTCATTCGTTTATTAGTAATTTAATTTATAAATGCATTTATACATTAATGTGAACTATTTGGACATATTACAGTTCTTGTTTGTTTATTCATTGTTGATTCGTTTGTTTGTTCATTCATTCAATCAATCAATTTTTAGACATATTTGGTTCATTGTTCGTTCATTCATTCATTCATTCATTCATTCATTCATGCTATTATACATTAATGTTAATTATTTGAACATATTACACTAGTGTTTGTTTCATTTCATTTGTTCGTTCTTTCATTTATTCATGCATCAATGCGAATGTGAATTATTTTATACACATTTGGTTCATTGTTTGTTCATTCATTCATTCATTTATTTAGTTATGCCATTATACATTAATATGAATTGTTTGGACATATTATACTACTTGTTTGTTCGTTCACTGTTCATTTGTACATTACACACCACTCACAAGGTAATACCTGAAAAAGCAAAATAAGGACATTTTTTAAAGCTGTACCTGCGATCTCCTCCAGTGATCCAGCTCTCATGTCCAGCATGACGGTGCCGTTGATGATGCAGCTCCGCAGCTCAAACAGACTGTGCAGAGAGAGAGTGGCTACATACGGTTTACTCCAGCGCTCGCCTCCATCCTCCACATCCTCTTCAAACTTCAGCCACCTGCACAAAACACACCAGAAATTCAATCCACTTGGTGTAGTGTCTATGTTTGAACATAAAACAATCTACAACGTTACATATAACAATGCTGAGTCCAAGTGTGGATATATACATATATTTTATTTATTTTCTACAAGTTACAGTTTTCTACAAATTCATTCATTCATTCATTTTTCTTCAGCTTAATGCCTTATTTATCAGAGGTTATCACAGCAGAATGAACCGCCAACTATTCCAGCATATGTTTTATGCAGCGGATGCCCCTCCAGCTGCAACCCAGTACTGAAAAACACCCAAACACTCTCACATTCACACACACTAATACACTAGGGCCAATTTATACAATCCAATCCAAGATTCCCCTTTAGCGCATGTGTTTGTATTGTGGGGTGTGTGTGTGTGTGTGTGTGTGTGTGTGTGTGTGTGTGTGTGTGTGTGTGTGAATGAGTGTGTATGGATGTTTCCCAGTACTGGGTTTCAGCTGGAAGGGGATCCGCTGTGTAAAACATATGCTGGATAAGTTGCCGTTTCATTCCGCTGTGGCGACCGCTGATAAATAAAGGGATTAAGCCAAAGGAAAATGAATTTAAGAGAGATATGTGAGATCTGTGATGCTGAGCAATGCAATTACATTAAGCTCCTGTATGTTCCATGTTTTTAAAATCAGAGCTATGAACTGCCATTAAATTTTTCCATGTGAATAAATAATAACCTTTTTGATTTCAGTACTGTTTTGCAGTGCCCTTGTAACCTAACTAAATAAGTGAATGATTATTTTGCTCTTTCGCCTGAATATGTAATATTTTGTTTAGATATAAAGCACTACAGTTTCCATGCTGTCTGCTTCATGAAGAAAAAAAAAGCAGAGTAATACCCCATGCTGAGTGCACTTAGATGTGATGCCATATGACAATGTAGAAAGCATCATCATTATAAGTGCTTTATTTAGCCTTTCTGTTTTATTACTCACACACACATTACACAACAATGGTACTTTATATAACCTGAGTTCGCTTGGACTAAT